CCCATCTAGGCTTATCCTCTAAAGGATATTGTGATAGCGCCCGCTAACATGTTCACCTACTGGCCCTGGTCGTCATTGTATAGGCAAAGTGTCGCTGTTTCTTATTGAAAGTAGAGTGCGTGGCGCATCCCAAAAGAGCTTGATTTACACCGGATACTTTTTTTTCACAGTGGCTATGGTCAGTGCCCACAAACTCTTCGGCACTGAAAATGAACTGAAAACAAGTGCGAGATAGCGTATTTATTTTTGGCTATGAACAAAGAGATCTGTAAGATGATATAAAGCTAACAGAAGATCTTACTGAAGAGGAAATTTTGTGAAAGACTCGATGGGAAATGTGGGAAAAGCGATTTGGAAGATTCTTCGGGAATGTTGTCTATATGTACAATGATTTACACACTGCGATTTTCTATGCCTAGCTTTTGTAGCTCGGATAACGCCTTACCCGGGTACCTGACAGGAGGCCCATCGCTCGACGAGAAGGTAGGGAACCTAGCGGGACAGGGGCGACTCGCAGCTGTTGTGCGAAGGGGGATGTACTATAGCACATTCTTTTCAGCTTAACGCCAAATCGCTACAGTTCTTGTCTGCGTATCTGCCTTTTCGCTATGTGACGGGCATCCTGTCCGGGATCCCGTATCACCTTCTGTGGTCAATTTAAAGGTGTGGAGAGCAATTTAACAAATGTCATGCCGTAGGAGGCTGCATTGCTTCTTTTTGAAGCGGCGCTCCAAATCGCAAAGTGGATAGATCTCCTGTAGGTGGCAAACTTGGAATTGTAAAGCTTCATTGGAAAGGTAAATATCCAGTGCGATCCATGAACCCTGCGCACTCGCGGGGTTTGCACGCCACCTGTTAAAAGGCTTTTTTTTCGTAATAATTCGGTTGACTGACTATAATTCTATGGACGGCGCATAAAGAGTCCAAATGCGTTGCAGAAAATTCACGCAGAAATAAAGGCGGGAACTTGGTAGGGAACTGGTCCCAATATTAAGCTCAGAAGGTAACTATAGGTAATCAGATAATTGTGTTAACCCGTGTAACCAACATGGCTCAAAATTCTGACTGGACAAGGCATACTGTATGCACCTCGTTGATCAGACAAAGATATGCGGTGCTCTGTAAGAGAGAACAAGCGTACAGAGAATCAGAAAGAACGAGAAAGTCACGAAGCACACACGATCGATCACCATCGCTGCGTACATCCAATCGGCTCGTTCGGCGTGCATTATTTCCTGGAAATTTCTCATAGTTACCCGAAGGAAAGAAAAGGATGAGCTGATTCCTAGGCATTCAATAGAAATATATGGGAGACCATAGACACCCAAGCGAAAGTTCCTATGGTTCAAATGTTCAGGCATCCAACTAGGAGAATTCTGTTTTCAAATTATGCAATGGTGAAAAACAGTAACTTCAAAGGTACGGGTCGGTCTCGAGTTGGTGTGTTATTTTGTTTGAAAGTTAGACTAGAAGTGTGATGAGGAAGTGTGAGAGGTAAGAAGAATCGAAAAGCACCATAGAAAGCTGAAACTTCCCTTATGAGGTTGGCCGTGGCATAACGGAGGGACACAGCATTTCGAGGAGAGGGAAAACGCGAGAGAATACTTCATACGTGAAAGGGCGCAAATGCCGCTAAGTCGGCGATGATAGAGCGGGAACGCCTGCACTTATGGTCAGCTATGCGCTTTGACCCGCTTACATTTTGAGCGTACAAGACCGCAGCTAGGGCTTGAGAAGCCCTTACCTCTTTCTCCCTCGTGGAAAGAGCATTTCCCACACACTTATTAGCACCTACTGCGACCGAATGTAGCTGAAGTCATGTAACACGTCGAGCGATTTTTCTTACTATAATGGAGCTTTTTGCAGTGTGTTGTCTGCGCTACCGAACATTGATACCTGCGCTGCTGATCAGCGGCAGAATCTGATTCGACCATTTAAGTCAACGAAAGGAGCAATTTGCGTGTGATGCAGAGCAGAGGTGATATCGGTCGAGGAAATCCTCGACAGGGGGTCGTACCTGTCGGGCCTGGTCATGGGGTCGTACTCTTGGGGTCAGTAACAGCAGTGGTATCGTGGTGCAGATAGGTTAAGAGGGTATAGCGCAGCAGAAAATGAAAAATATCTGAAAAAACATGACATTAAATTTTCTTTGCAGGTTCAGTCGCTGCATTCATTCCTCCATTCATGAGAAGGGCGTATTTGAAGGCAGTACAAAGAATGAAAGTGCATCCCCGCAAAGAAGACTGCCACATGTGCGCACGCGCTGCAAAGGCACCTCCTCTGCCTATCGCTCGCTCCTTCTCCCTTAATACCTCGCTGAGAATGACGCTGTTGTTAGGGACCCTGTCGGAAAAACGACAACCGTGAAGAAAAAGCGCTGGGCAAATGAAGTTGTTTTTTAGGTTACAGGAATAGCACAACACACTATGTCTACTACAATACAGTTTCGTTCGAAGGTCCCCATCATATAACACCTTTCAATCGATTCTGCAACTGTGAGTGGAGGACGGATGCATGGCTTATACCAATACGAAATCGGATGATGACGATTGCCCCTATTCTTATTGCTTGCGTTGAAAGATTTCGTTCTAGACACATTCCGAGCGTTGCCAACGAATCACACTTGCAATGGTGAAGGAGGGAGCGGTTTTAGGTGGCCGGATCCGTCCTCGATAGATCCTCGACGCAATTATCTCTCCAACCAGAAGCTCTAGAAAAAAGCGAAACAGACGGTTAAGAAGCGCAAACCTTCCGCTTTCCAAAACTATCTTCCCTTTTTCAGGACCTTACGACATTAGAGAAAGATTGCTCTTGAAGTGGCAAAAACTTGCGTGAAAATTTCCGCGTCCTCGACATTTACTCGACGAAATTTGAGAGACCCTATCCTTCTGCATCGAAGACTTTCAGAGCAATTTCAATACTTCTTGGAAACGCGAAATCCAGCTCTATCTAACCCTACCTCAAACTGCTTCAAAGGTTATGAAATGGAAGAATGCAACCTTTTCATCGAGGGTGTAGATTTCGACGGTTTTTTTCGGGATTTATTTCAGCAAATCTGACCCAGTGACAATCGCGCCGCAGCTGCCGTTGAATCGGCCGTTGATTGATACACTCGGCTGTTTCGATATACTCAAGCAGGAATAAGATTAAATCGCAACCCCGTGCCTTCAGGATTTCTGTGCATTTCTGAACGAACCTGACTTGAGGTCACACAAAGTTAATGCCTCTTTCCTCGAGTCGATATTTCAGTAATACACAAAAGTGTGCAGCGATGAAAGACAGTGCATAGATGACAAGATGAAGGCGTCCATAACATTATTTTGCAGGAATTTTTTTTGATTTTTTGCAGGATTTATTTTGATTATTAATTGAATTAATTTGCTCTGTTATAGGGGGTCGTGTACCAGGATCTCATTTCGGGGGGGGGGGGGGGTCGTACTTCTGCGACCACACTACTCTGACACATTTCACTCCGGCCGGTGTGAATGCAGAGGTAAATGGAGCAAATGCCTAACAATAAGAGTGGGCCGATCCGATGGTGAAAATGCTCGGCCAACAATGGAGAACGACGTGCTCAGGACCGGAATGGATGGTTCAAAGTCCACTTGCGTATGGTAAAATTTGCGAGTACGAGTCGGATACAGGGGGCCAGGTGATAAGAGGGGAGTTCGACTCGGAATGGGCATCACCATCAATCAACTGACCTCTTTTTTAATTCTGTTCGATATCACTTTTAACTCCTCCATAATTCCAGCATACTGTCGTTCGTCCATAAGGTTCCTTGTGGTGACAGGTAGTGGTGATTTTCGATCGATTGGCTCTGGAGGGTTCTGAAAGCATTATTTAGTACTGCAGGTAAGGTGTCTCATAAGTAGTGAATATTTTTGGTTATTTTATCGATTTTAATTTTTTGCAATTTAAATGCATTCAGCCAAACACCCAGAGTCAACCCTGCGTTGCGCAGTTCTCAACGGCCACGTTGCGCAGTTTCGCCCGATTAGACACGTTCTCTCGCGCGAACATTCACACTCGCATGCTCGAGCCGTCTGCGTCTCCGCCCATACAGCGTGCGTTGAGGATCTCTCAACGTGCCGTTGCGAACTGCGCAACGCAGGGTTGACTCTGGTTCCGACGCCACATTATTTGATGGAAGCTGACCAGCTCTGAGAGCAC